CGTAAGCAGACGTACAACAGTTAAAGGCACAGGCATGGGTATGGGCACAGGTGCCTTTGTTTGTAATAAAAGGAATTAGAAGCAATGGTACCCCAATAGTAAAGAGTACATGTAGTGTCCAAGTTTTATTTCAAAACCATCAAGTTTATGTGTGTTTTTTAAATGAAAGGTAATTAATGCACACAATACAATTAGTATTTAGAAACCATCTTTTCATTAGTTCCTAAATTACCTCCCAGGTTAAGAAGCATTTGTAATAATAAATTGCTAAATTTTTAAAAAGACACAAAGGCACTGCTTTCACAAATGAGAAATAAAATAGATTTTTTAAAACATTGCACATAGGACCTTACTTGGGCAGATCAGTTCAGGCTCCCATCTTCCATTTATGCAGACAGAGTGTCTGTGTTCTGATGTTGCACCTCTACATTTGTACCTTACATTCGAGTTATGTTCAAATTCCTTCTTATTTTGTGTATTGTCCTCAGTTAAAATTAACCGTGATGATTTACACTTCTTAAGTTGATTTGTTGCTATAAAATGAAAATATTACTATGAAGATACTAATTATAAGAATCAAAACAACTCTTACATAAAAATAGCTATAGAGTTAATAGTAACTGCATAATAAAATCATTACTTATTCTCATAAATTCCACCAACCAAGTTATTCCTGATCACACTACATGAGATGAATTATTATGTATAAACAAAAGTCCTGCTTTCAGTCTTTGAAATATCAGAAAGAATATTGGCCATAAAGATATTTTGTACTTTGGGAACTGAAAGAGTATACAGGTTTACTGTTTTGGATGATCTACATAGTGAACCCTCATCACATGACTGAATTTGGTCCCATATTTCAAATCTATACAAATCTCACATTCATTTGTTTTCCTTAGCACAAACACCATTATATTATTTTTAATCCACAATATTCAAGCATTAAAATATTGTGAGAATAGAATATAAGAAGTTGCTAATTTGAATGTATTTTTCAAATGAGATACTATAATAAATAAGAAAAACATATCTAAAACATATAGATAATTAATATTTAAGCAGATCTTTTGTGTGATCACCAAAAAAGGGACAAATATTTAGAATAAGAAATTGGGTGCTTAAAGTTATGACCTCTTTTCTGTATATTAGAGTCTTTGAGGAGCTATTTTATTAATATAAAGGAAATAATCATATAATTCAATAATATTATAATGCCATAATAATAAAATTTATGCTAGCTTTGTTATTTTCTAAAACTCACTGGAGATGGCAGTCCTTTTTGAATTTGATAAAATATACATGTAGGCCTCTGATAATATTTGTTGTTTATGATTTTTAAAGCAGAGTCAAGTGAGGATGAACAGAGTAACAAATGTTAAATAATTGGCCAAGGAACGGTAATGATTTTAATGATGCACCCTTAAAAAAATAAAGTACCCTTCATTCAAAACACACAGAAGATTGAGAATAACCTTCTTAGGACTGGTCCTGAAGATGGAGAAGACTAAAACAAGATAGTCCTTTTGGTTTTTAAAAGGAAAAAAATTGGGGAAAAAAAAAACTGGAAAGAAAGACACAGAGTCGAGTGGAGTGGTGGTGGTCATTGCTGTGTCCTGGGAAACACTGGTTTCCGGTAGGAGTTCTTTGCTTATTGAGTTAACAATAAGCATATAGGGAGGAGTGGGAAAGCTAGAGGAGTGGAAGGTACAAACACATGAGGGGAAAATTGGACTAAGGCCTTATGATAGCTGGAAGGGGGTTGGTTATATTAAGCTGAATATAGCTAGAAGATTAACTTGGAAAGCAGACTCTGACATCAGAGGAAATAATAATTGAGTAGAAGTTTTTTGAGTAAGTCAGAATGAAAATTGAAGTTTTTCATGCTTATATTTCCTTGTTTGCTGCCCCTCCCCATATGAAATGTGGTGAAATCACTTGTGAAGAGAAGAGAAAAAAATAGAGGTAGGGTCTGAAGGATTGGCAATACCTTTGACAGGAATGTATAGGAAAAAAACCAAATTTTTAAAAGGAAACACAACAAAATGTAGTGATACTTTTTGGCAAACTTTTATTGTGTGTTCCTTGACTTCAGCCAGTCTTCTGAGTATCGGGAATACACCAATAAGCAAAACAGCATGATCCCTGAATGTCTGGACACCTCTGCCTTTTCTGGAATTAATTAACCAATTGGATGACTAAGGCAGGACACACACGAGTCTCCTTGAATGCTGATTCAGGAAGACTCCGTGGAAAACCAGTTTAAGAAAAAGTGACATGAGGTCTCCTCAAGGTCCTTCCAGTTAGTCATCAAAGACTTGATCATCAGAAGGCAGGATCATTCACTTACGGTTGAAGTCCATCAATGGACTTTGTTTCCAGCCCTTCCTGAATGACTGTTGTCACTAACCTATACAACTGGCCGTGAGACCTGCGGTCCACCACCCACACCATTAATCTCTTTGCTACATTTGAAACGC